ATCTTAGAATGTCCCGTTGGTGCATAAATGAATGATGTTACATAACTTTCATGAGCGCATATCCAGTATTCATCTCTGTGGGTTTTACCTTTTTGGTACAAATGACCTTTATCTGCTCATGCTCAGACTGCAACCGTAAACTGGCTTATTAGTTACACTCTTTCTTACACCGAAAGAAATCAATTAATATTGCCGAGACGTCTTGGTCTAGTCGTCAGCCGTCAGTGGATTACAAGAGATTTATACGGACGTAACATTATCAATGTAATAGTTCATTAAATACGTTATCAAAACTGTATATTCATGGTATTAACCATACATCCCCAAGGTAAACCTTTATTAATATACACTTTCAAGTGCCCCCCCCCCCCATTCCCTTTACCAGGGCTGCTTCCTTGACTTCCCTATTAATTTCCCGTTCTCAAAATCTGTATTATTACTTTATAATCTTAATAGGGAAATGATCAATGTCAGCGGAGGAAACGGAGGATATTTTAAACGAATTTCGTGATATGGTAAATCGGGGTTTCAATGTACAGGCTGTCATGGCTAGGTTTCACTTAGAGCCAAAAGTTATTAATAAACCGGCTTTCGAGACGGGGTTATATTAGCCAAACCAAACAGTATCGTTAATTATATTATGTTTAATTACATTTGATTCTTTAGGATTTGATTATATATGTTCTTTATTACATCCTTCTTTTATAAATGCCTCGGTAGCATTATAATAATTGTTTATTGTGAGCATAAAAATAATGATAATATCTTTTTTCAGTTGCAAGTTTGATGATTAAATCTTGATTCAAAATGAATAACGAGAAACGAGAAATATGCACCCGTATACACGACGTATAAATATATATTGATATAATTCAAAATAATCTAGATTATTTACTGCTCAATGTGCCTGCACTGAGTTTACCTTTAACCACAACCCTTCATAATCTTCATCTGCCGCTCTTCTCCAAGTTCTTCTGAAGGTTCATTTATTTTCCGAATATTCGCATATCGATAAATGGTAGGCCCTACACCGTTTATTTCACAATTGTACTATTCATTATCATTTATCTTATTTGTCATCATTATTATCATTACGACTATTATTATCATTATTGTGATTATTATCATTGTTATCATTGTTGTTATTATTATCAGTATTATAATCATTAATATCATTATTATTATTATCATCATCATTATCATCATCATCGTCATAAGTATCAATATCTTCTTCATTCTCCTTTTTTGAATTAAAGACACGCATATTTGTATTCGGCCGGATCTTTTTTATGGATGTTATAAAATACATAAATTGTTTTGTCAACACACCTTCATACCTTTCTCTTCTTTTTGTTTCATTTTTCCTCTTTTGGGGGATATAACTGTAATCAATTTGTATTATTGCCTGTTCTGTTTTATAGGGTATACACCACACAATGAAAGAAAGTGGGTACACAGTTCCAAAAAAGCATTTCCCTTTGATAATGGCAAAACTTCAGTTGCAGCCCACGAGATCGACAATATTGCCATCATAAGCCTTCTGAAAAGATTTCCGAGGTTACACGGACCAACAGCCCATTAGCCTGACCTATCGGTCTCCATGGCCTTCACACAACTTTTCCGAGGCCGGAACTTTGTGGGTTCACAAACTACCGGTGAACCCGGATATCCCTAAAAATTTAACTTTGCCTTTTTGAGTATATCGTTATCAGTGGCGTAATGAGCAAAAACGTTTGGGGGGCTGACAAAAAAAAAATCTGCAGCACCCCACTCTAACATGCAGACCCCGCTGAACGTTTCGCAAAGTGGGGTCTAGAGGCAAAGCCCCGGCTGGGGTCAAGGGGCGGAGCCCCCGAAGCTCAAGGGGTATAGGCATCAGTGGCGGATCCAGGAATTTCTTTCCGGGGGGGGGCACAAATGGCATGGGGCTAAATATATGTAAAACGATGAAGCGACAGAACGAGGCTTTAGCGGCGAGGGAGCGGAGCGACCAAGCGGGGGTGGGTCTGGGAGGGGGTTCTGACCCCCTCTTAGAGTAAGAAGCATTTGCAATTTTAGAGCCAAATTATACGGATTTTCAGGCACTTCCTGCAGTAATATGACGTAAAATTTCTTTCTCCTACCCCTTCCAAGAGTAGGGATCTTTTGCATTTTGAGAACCACGTTTGGCTAATTAATATCCACCGGCAACACCTGGAAAAAACGAGGCCTTCTGATTGGTTAGAAGTTAGAGAAAAGTGATCTTTCACGTCTTGAGACGGTGTAATATGCTTTGATGCTGCAAAACAATGCACAAAGACGGTGATCCTTTACTTCATTAGTAGTACTTGCAAAAGTTTTCTCGATTGTATAAACTGTGTCGCTAGATATTTGTCAGTGGGGGAGTGGGGAGGGTGTAGAGGCCACCGATTACCGACAAAACGAGCAACCAATTACCGACAAATATATTAATGCCAATGTCCAAATGTCTACAAATTTAACCCTATAAACCCAGGGGCCAGGAACTAAGTTATTTTCAATCTCCCCCCTCCCGCGGGAAATTTTGACACTTCTTTAAATTATTAGAGAAAGAAGACGATCCGTTGTACTGTTCTCGAACTCTTAATTCTTGTTTGGATCCAGTTCCCCCCCCCCCCCCCGCACGCGCAAAGCGTGGCAGTTTTGACGTTTCAATAAATGATTACTCTTAATCCTTGTCTGAATTCATTTTCGCCCATTTCGCGCGAAGCGCGGAAGCTTTGACGTTTCATTAAATCATTTGAGAAAGAAGACGATCTTTTGTACTGTCTTCGAACTCTTAATTCTTGTTTGGATCCAGTTTCTCCCCCCCCCCCGCACGCGCAAAGCGTGGCAGTTTTGACGTTTCAATAAATTATTACTCTTAATCCTTGTCTGAATTCATTTTCGCCCATTTCGCGCGAAGCGCGGAAGCTTTGACGTTTCATTAAATCATTTGAGAAAGAAGACGATTCGTTTCGTGTTCTTGTCTAAAATAAGTTTTTCCCTCCCACGCGAAGCTTGGAAGCTTGGACACTTCATTAAATTATTAGAGAAAGAAGACGATTCATTGTACCGGTTCCGACTCTTAATCCTTGTCTGAATTCATTTGCGCCCATCCCGCGCGAAGCGCAGAAACTCTGACGTTTCATTAAACTATTACTCTTAATCCTTGTCTGAATACATTTTCACCCATCTCGCGCGAAGCGCGGAAACTCTGACGTTTCATTTAACTATGACTCTTAATCCTTGTCTGAATTCATTTTCGCCCATCCCGCGCGAAGCGCTGATGCTTTCACGTTTCATTAAATTATCAGAGAAAGAAGACGATTCGTTGTATCGTGTTCTTGTCTGAATTCAGTTTCCCCCCCCCCTCCCGCGCAAAGCGCGGAAGCTTTGGCACTTCATTATTTTTTTTAAGAAGGAAGACGATTCGTTGTACCGTTCTCGACTCTTAATCCTAGTCTGAATTCAGTTGCCCCCCCCCCCGAAGCGCGGAAGCTTTGCCGTTTCATTAGAGTATTAAAAAAAGCTAACAGAAGATTCGTTGTACCGTTCACTATAACTGAATGTCTGAATTCAATTTCCCCACTGGGCCCCTTAACGGTACATGTGCAGTGTTACATGATGTAAGTATGGAACGCCCGGCAGTGCTTGTCACAGTTGCTTCTGGAAAGGATTTTATTTTACTAGAATCTCTGACTGTTAGTGGCCACGGTCCCTTAGTGACTATAAAATAACATATGCTCTTCCGGTCAATTTAGGAATGTGTCAGTTTGCAACAGAAATGGGGAAACGCGCATTTTGTTGAAAATCATGTGATATCACGAACATTTATACATCAATTGTATATGGAATTGAAAATAAGTCACGGTTCAATTTCATTTGGGAGGGGGCTGGCGCCCCCCCTCCCGAGCCCCCCACCAGTACGCCAGTGATCGTTATTACTGATCCAAATATAAATTGTATGACAATAGGTTGACGTGGCCAAGAATGAAAGGAAAACATTGTGTTTGCCAAATCACTCTTGGCATCGAAACCCCTGTGCAGGAAATAGATAAAAGTATTCGGTACTTTTATAGGGAAGCAATACGATTTTAACCATGCTTAGTTCTACTTAGTAGAAGAAAAGTACAGACATTGACACTTGACAATAGCCTTCATGAAATTATGATATATATATAGTGTTGTAGTTGCTTATGTACATAATTATGAGGGGCAGATATTAATAGACAGTTATGTATACTGGACTGACGCCCTCGCATGCCGACCCACTTGTTTTTGAATTGAATACTTTGCTTGTTGTGATCTTAGCATTCTCCGAAACATACGATCTGAATACGATCTTTTTTTCGAAGAATAAGCAGTTAGCATCCGAAATAAACATTTAAACTGTTAACATATTAATGATCAATGGTTTGAATAGTCATATGATTAATGAAATTAAAATGTCAATGGATTTCAAGCTTCCTCAAAGGGTGAATAGCTAAATCGGCTCCGAATCGTGGTGACGTCATACCAGTACTGCTATCGACATTTCTTTTTATACTTTATATATCTAATATGAGTGTCATTTCTTCAAAAATAAGATCGTAGGAAAATCGAATAGGACAAGCTAAACCACGACGAGACGAGAAGACAATAAATCGAGTCAAGAAGACCAGGCACGTAGCCAGAGTTTGATGTTTGTGGGGGGAGCACATACATGTAATCGATCGAGGTAAAAAAAAAAGGGGGTCTGCCCCCCCCCCCCCGTGCCCCCCTCCCCCCCCCCCCCCCCCTTGGCTACGTGCCTGAAGAAGACAAGGAGTCGAGAAGATAAAAAGACGAGAGCCTAGATTCTCGTCAAATTGACTTGATCGGTTGAAAAATGAGTAGCTGATGCTATATTGGCGACCACTTTTGGTCCATTAATCTAGGTTGTGTTCCTCTGATCAACCAATTTATACATACTTTCAGTCAACCTCCATCAAATTTCATAGAAGAAATGATTAGTTACTCACCTATTTGACAAAACGGAAGTAAAAATATAAGAACACAGGGCCACGAAATAAATCGTTCACGATCCATCTTCTTTTTCCTCTGTACCAAACTGATAGTGATGATGTTGACAATGAGAGAATGTAATGACACAGCCACTAGTTTTTAGGCAATGGGTGGAATAAGTCAAGGTGGTACACACACGCACGCCGATATGAATATGAGGATTTAGTCACACTTATACGTACACGCATTTCCTTAAAAAGGGGAATATATGATGCAAAAGGAAATAAGAGAATAAGGGCTGCGTGGCTTAAATCATAGTTCCTCATTGCTGCCCTCCCTTTTTTAATACCTTATTTGTGACACTGACAGAACAAAAATTGGTGTGGGGTCCAGGGGCGGAACCCCCAGGATCTCAGGGGTTTTAGGCATTAAATTACCGTCAGATGAGCATCCAGGTGCCCTTAGGGCCCTTGGTGGAATCCGGGGGGCAGAGCCCCCGGAAGCTCAGGGGTTTTAGGCATTTAATCAAGGTCAGATGAGCACATTTTGACACCTTACTATTTTGTGACAAAGACAGGTCACAATTTTTTCGTTCTTTCTTTATGAATTTGCCATTTTCCAACAAACGCTTGAAAAAGTATAATTATACTTAACATTGAGGAAAAATCATTTCAACAACATGTGTTTCGAATTAGAAATAAACCGCGTTTGAATTATATATGGGGGCATCTGTCACCCCCCCCCCCCCCCCAACCAACCAAGCCCCCCCCCCCCCCCCCCCCCCCATCAGTACTCCAATCCCCCTCCCCCGGTCTACACCTTTTTTTACCATGATTAATTATTCATTGCATTTTTCCCCGACTCCCAACATAAGCCAAAAAATGCCAAACCGGAACCTGACCGCAATGTTACCAAGGGCAACTACGCTTTACTGGCAGAAATGCCAAGCCCGAAACATTCCAAAACGAAGTGTGATCTTTTAAGGAAGAAGGAAGAAACAAAGACTAACATTAGGAAACACAGAAAGAGGAAGTCATAGAATGATAAAAAAAAAAAAAAAGAATAACATGAGAGAAGGTGATAAAAGTAAGAAACAAAGAATAACATGATGAAACACAAAAAGAGGAAGTGATAGAATGATAAAAAACAAAGAATAACATAATAGAAGGTGATAGAGGAAAGAAACAAAGAATAACATAAGGAAACACAGATAGAGAAAGTGATAGAATGATAAAAAAACAAAGAATAACATAAGAGAAGGTGATAGAAGGAAGAAACAAAGAATAACATAAGAGAAGGTGATAGAAGGAAGAAACAAAGAATAACATAAGAAAACACAGAAAGAGAAAATGATAGAAAGAAGAAAGAACGAATAACATAAGGAATGACAGAAAGAGAAGGTGATAGTAGGGTGATCACACTGCATGTTCACACAGTCTGCCCCATGCACACACACACAACAGCAGACAGTTGGTAGAAATAGCAATTTTCGTAATTTTTTTTTTTTTTTAAGTGAACAATATTTTTAAATTTTTATTTCACATATCTTTCAAGCACACCTTTTACTACAATTCTGTGTAGTTTCATTGTTATAGGCATGTGGAAAATATGTTAAATTGTTAATCAGAATATTGTCTTTTCAGCCATGTGTGACATGGCCCGCTGATCGCCCATTGACTGTTATTCTGCGTGGTAAAATGCACCGCAACGTATAAAACTCCTCTACAAAAATGCAGTATCCTCATATGTTTCACTCATTAAATAAATTTGTCGTTTACACTCAAGATAGCCACAATTGTACTGGGATCACCAAAGTTTGTGTTACTTTACATATCAGTCTTTGTGGAATTTAATGGCTTGTTGAATGGTTTCTCGGAAAATCGTCATAAATCCTCAAATCTGACATTTTTATAAAAAAAAAAATATATACTGTGATGTAGCTGAAAGTCTGCAAATTCTTATCATTTGATCGGTTTTTCTGAATAATTTGTGAAACATATGAGAAAATAGCTGTAACGGTGATCCAAGTAACTTCCGTCGCCATAGTTTATTGGCATTGTTTGGTGTAAATATGATCTATATATATGTATATGATTTTAAAAATGCCAACAAAATGAACAGTTTGACTTTCCCAAATATAATTAGCTGAAATGACCTAATTTGCATATTTGATAAAAATTCATAATTGTTTTTTTTCTTCAAAAAAAAAATATTTCCATACCTGTCTGATAGACATAGGTTTCATTGATGTATCATGTTCGGTTTTGATTTGATTACATATGCGCATATTAATTAGGCGGACTTAGTTATATTCACAACTTTTTCATATCTGCAGATTCGCAAAAATGGCCAAAATGACTTATTTTGTTTGCTTCTGTTTTCCAAACGGTAATAGATATATGAATTTTCTTTTTTGTATTTTTTTTACCACAAAGATGATATTTTAATGTCTGATAATTTAATTTATTATTTGTGTCCAAGAAAGTGATGAATTAAGTTGTCAACTTTATCGAATTTTGCCGTTTTTGCCAATTTGACCATTTCTGGCAGGTTTTTCGGTAATTTTGCGATATCATAAAAATGGTATAAAATCACAACGCATTGACCGATTTCAATTCTGTTTGTTGTTTTTTGAAGCTTTCATGAAGCTTGATCATTTGCAATCATCAAATAACATGTGTTTGTTGTACTTATTTTTGGTTCGCTATACCTAGTGATAGAAGGAAGTGATAAAGAATAACATGAGAGAAGGTGATACAAGGAAAAACAAAGAATAACAAAGGAAAGACAGAAAGAGGGAAGTTTTTGCATCGGAGTGCCGCGCATACGCATTACCAACTAAAACACGCTAAAACATCACTGAGCTTTTTCAGTCGGTGATGTTTCCGCACAAGTGTAAACGAGTGTGCGAAACATCGTGACTTTTCAAAATGAGGTATTTGACAGTATAAAATAATGTGCCTATGTGGGTATGCCTTGAACCATAATGCATGGCCCTACAGAGGCATTTTTCCTGTTGGGGACCGGGGGAAAATGCAATGAAATATTGATAATTTATTGCATTTTCGTTTTGTTTTGTTTTTTGTATTTGTGGGGGCGTCGACGTACCCTAGCCCCCGCTGCGTACAGTCATGATTCATTGGCTAAGCAATGGCCTCATTATTATGAGGCCCCATAATCAAAACCGTGTCGAGGTACTGTATTAGTGCCCTTTTTTGAGGCATTAATCATCATTACTGTCGGTTATGACTTAATGACGTAGGGTCCCTTGTTGATTGACATAGTATCATGCACATGCTTTAGCAGTCACGCAAAACAAACACTCACAAACTATTATTCAATAAAATCTGAGAATGTATACTATTAGCTAGATCTATTAGGAGTAAATCATGGTCAAAATCATTCCATAAATAGGGGTAAAAATCATTATTTCACCTTTATGACCAACAGTGTATAATGATGTACAAATGAAGAAAGAAATTGCCATGAAATAATTTTGACTATGATGTAACAATATATAATATTTATTTTAAAAAAAACATAATATGACTATTCCGTTGCCATGCAACGATCCATTTTTAGCGCAATGCGCTAAGGTGCATTGTTGTAAATACTTTCTTTCTTGCACTTGTAATTCTAAATTCCCTATCTAAAGATATAAAATTGAAACTTGTCACAGTGAATAAGTTAGCTATCAAGAATTTTCATTTCAACTGTTTAAATCATTATATGTATAAATATACATATATGTATACATATATGTATATATAGATATATAACCCGAAATATTACATTAATTGGACATCATAACAACTGGTATATTACCCTAACCCTAACCCTGATTTCAAAACAATATAACTAATGACTAATGATTGAACCTTTTGTTTCTTGGGAGTTTTTTCTTTTTGTTTCCTCTGCCTAAAAACGTAAGTAGAGTGCGCAGTTCTTTGTACAATCGTTAACAGGACTCGGAACTGTCCTGCTAATGACCATGCCTACTTAATGACTCGTTTTTAACTCCAGATGTTCTATGAATGACACTGTATATGTGTATGTATTCAAAATGCTTTAGAGTTAACATATCATGCATAAAAATACCAGTGCCTTTTTTTTGTATTAATGTCTAAACCACCAATTTATCAGGATGTCCTATTTGAGTTCCTCATTCGTCATTAGAAAAGGGGACAATAATATGTCACTAGTTTAGTGTTCAGGCTTCCGTGAATCTTTAAAGGCAATAAACGGAATTTACATGAATGAACCGGTTCACTACAACTTTCAAACACAATATGCTAACATTTCAAGTGTGTATAATACAGTGGTACTCAACAAAAAATAAGAAAACCCTCCTCCTTCAAGCTGCAATATGTCAAGAACTGGTTAAAAGTAAAGAATTAAATTAGGAAACTAAATTAGAGAGATAGGCCTATATATATATATACATATATATATATATATATATATACAGTGCGTCCCAGAAAAAACGAAACCGAGAAGTATCTATGTTTTATCATAACTTAATCACAACCATAATTAATGAATGATACATATTTGGAAAGCTTAGAGTCTCCTCTTTCATGTGATGCTACTCAGACGATGCATATTTCACGCATGAGTGATTAAAAGCAATTTGAAGGAAGGAAACCAAAAAGACATTTGGCGGGCGGTATCTGAATTTCGAAGAAAAATTCACAGTTCTAAAAAGTTGAGTTTCTGCCCTTTCATATGACACCTCAATCAGGAAAAATGAGCGAGGAATAACAAAGTTCTGTTTGTTTAAAGTAGCTCTTACATTTTCATAATTTTAACAAACGAATTCGTTTTCACTGGGTGCCTGCCGTAGCAAAAAGCAGATTTGACAAAAGACTTAACTTCGTTTCGTTGACAATCAGCCATGCATGAAGACCAGGGGCGTACGCAAGGGGGGGGGGGGTTGGGGGTTCAAACCCCCCCCCCCCTTTGGTATTTGTATGTGTGTAAACCCCCCTAAAAAAAACTAAAACCCCCCCCCCCCCCCTTTGTATTTTTTTTTTTTTTTTTTTTTAACTAAAAAAAAAAAAAATAATAATAATTATGCCCACGGCTAACGTAAAGTGACCTTACCCCCCCCCCCCTTGAAAAAATCCTGCGTACGCCCCTGATGAAGACTCTCG